AGACACAGAGACAGACAGACAGACAGACAGACAGAGAGGGAGAGAGAGATCAGGGATTTAGAGTCAGGTAGAGCCTGGCTTGACCTTCCCTGCTGTGTCACCCAAGGCCCAGGGTACAGAAGGCACTAGGTCAATGTCAGCATGTCTGTGACTGTAGGCTCAAGCTTAGGGCCAACCCAGGTGGTCTTGAAGCTGGTGGGAACATGGCTGTGTCCCCACAGAACACCCTGGGCTGGAGGTCAGGACGTTGTCTCTCTGCCTGGAGCTCCTCTTCTGTCCCTGCAGCCTGGCTACTCTTGTCCTGAGGCCCGGTTCTAGCAGCACTGTCCTCCGCTGTCCCCAGGCTCTCCCATGTCCTTCCCACGCTCTGCTCTCACCATTCCACTCCTCCTTGTCATGCTGATGCCAGTGTCCTGCGGGTCTCACATCCTGGACTGCAGGAACTGTGGACCTTGTGCTGAGCCTCCTCGCTGGGCACTGAGGCTAAGTGGGAACGTGACTTTTAAAGCCCAGGACTCCAGCGAGCACAGAGTGTGTGGAAGCCAGACAGCACCTGCTGGCACCCCGGGAGGTGATGGTGGCAAGAACCAGGAGCTCAGAGAAAGGGAGGAGAGATTCAGGAGCGGGATTCCCCTATAGGCTCTGGAAGGGTGACGCTGTAATGTCAGCCCCACTCTCTAGGTGGCCAGGCCAGCTGAAGTTTAGATTGGGGCAATGGGCCATCCCCAGTTTGTGCAGGACACATAGAGTTGGACTCCCTTCAGTTCTGCTTGGTGTCACTGAGCAGGCAGTTAGGGGAGGGAGCCCTTCGGGGGTCTGAGGCAGGACCTGAACCTGCAGTTACCGCAGAGCCACACAGACAGTGATGCCCACCCCAGGTCTCCACAGCCCCTGCCAGTCTGCAGACCCTTCCCAGCCCTTACTGTCTTTCTCCAGACAGAGTCCAGGGTGGAGGAGAGTCCTGAGAATAGGAGTCCTGAGGATGGGAGTCCCGTCGACTGCTTTCCTCTCAAATCAGTCGGCGAGTGCCTATAACCTGTACAGGTCTTCCTGCTGAAAAAATAATAGCAACCCTGCCTTGGTCAGCCACAGTGCAAAATTGGAAGCCGCAGAAGACCCCTGAGACATCCCTGACTCTTCCGTCAGAAATAATCCAAGGTGGCAGCTCTCTATGCCCAGAATGGCGGCAGCTCTCTCTCTCTCCAACATTCTTCTGGAAGGACTTTGTCCTCCTCATGCTGGGTAAGAGTCACTGTGTAGGCACTGGGGAGCCCCCTTACATCTTTCTCTGGCTAGGACATCCCCAGAATCCATACCCTAACTCAGGAGCTTATGGTTTCTGGCTTACTCTTGGGGCTGCCTAGCAGCTCTGCTGCACCCCAAATGAGCCCATGCCTTCACCCTCCTTTCCCTGGATCCTTCCTTGGCACCAGCTGCCCAGGTGCAAGCTTGATGATACACGGAGTGCCACTGACCCTACCCCAGAGCTCTGGCATTGCCTGTACCTTGCCTTCAGCCCTGTACTGGCTCTGCTCCTGAGCCTGCTCTCCCTCACCTGTCATGGAATTCTTTCCAGTAGGTGCCCCCAGGAGACTTCAGGCAGGCCCAAGGGTGAGGTGCCAAGCTCTGACCTTCCCTCTGGCCACCTTCCCCTGTGGTATACGCCCTGCCAGAATGACTCTCCCACCTCCAGGCAGCCTGGTCCTTCCCTGTCACCTCCTCAACCTCAATTGGCTGCCTGATCCCCTGGGCCCCTGGAGCAACTGTTCTGGAGCTTCCAGGCAGGATATAAGTGTGTAGGGGACATAGGGGGCCCTGGTCATAGCTGAGTCTCACTGCCACACAGGTCTGGGCTCCAGTGTCCACAAGGGAGACAGAGCAGGAAAATCTGCACATGCAAAATGCAGGTGACACTGTGGTCTATACCACAGGGACACTGTGCCCCTCACTCAGCACATAGCTATGGGGCTCCTGTCTTGTGCCTAGCGGGGCTCTGGGTGAAGGTACAGTAGCAAATAAACAGCAGACATCCCTGCTGCCTAGACGCTCACTGCTGTTACAAGATAAATATGCCAGCTTTGTCAACAAGACCGTGTGCTTTGGCACTTGAAGGGTGGGGGGACTGTAAACAGGGGGTCACAGGGCCTAACTGAGCAGGCTTCGACTGGGCCAAGACCTGCAGGGGAGGAGGAAGGAAATCACATCTGGGAAGAGTGTTCCAGGAGAGGGTACAGCCAATGCAAAGGCCCTGGGGTCAGATGCTGCCTGCAGGGGGGTGCAGTGGCTGGAACCAAGGAAAGGGGGAGAAGGAAGAGATGGGTTTGGAGAAAGAGCTGGAAGCATAGGAAGGTGGTGAGGACCCTGACATTTCCTTTTGGAGCAAAGAAGGGCAGGGCCTGGGCCTAAATTTTAATAACAACGAGGGCGATGGGCCAAGGCCATGGGGTGCCTCTGCATGAGCCCAGCAGATAGACCAGAGGGAAAAGGGAGGCCTGCAGGGTCACACACCATACAGACAATAAAGACAGCAGCTCTCCAGAGGTCGCCTGCTGAGGGTGGGAACCATGTGGCTCAGAAGCTGACAAGGCCCACAGGAGCAGTCAGGGAAGCCACTATTCAGCACACACACACACACACACACACACACACACACACACACACACACATCCTTGCAGCCCCTCTCTCTCCTCTCGGGGCCTGAATGCAGGAGGACCCAGAGCCCCAGGGCTTGAAGAAGGAGCTATCATCCCATGGCCAAGCACACAGTGTCTGTGTGGGTCTTCCCCTAAGAGTGGCCCCAGCTCATTCAGGTTGCCCTACCGCCCACACCGGCCTCAGGCACAGCTTGGAGCCTGTGATCACAGGCATAGGGCTGCCCAGCACACCCCAAGGGGTAGAAGTGACCCAGCCCACCAGCTCTCTGAGACGCAGTTGACCTTTGCTGAGAATGCAGGTTTTCTGCGCACTCTTTGGTCACTTTGGGTTCTGTGGGGGCTCCAGTGGCTGCTGCTGTGGGGTTGCTTCTCTCCTTGCCCTGGGGACCCAGAAGCTCTATGAAGGCACAGATGCATAGTAAGCTGTGACGAGAAGCCCATCTCTGAGCTGCCCCTAGGCTGCTTGGCCCGACCTGTCATCCAGAACAGGAAAGTAGTATGAGTTTCAGGCTGGGGCAAGGGCAGGAAGAAGTAAGGGCGCTCTCTGGGCTCAAGATGAGCCACTGCGAGCAGCAGAGACCAGCCATCCACGAGCCCTGTGTGGAGGGCTGCAGGGGACCCTGGAGCAGCCTCCCTGGCTGGCCACCTCTGCTCATCACATTTGTGTAGAGAGGCTATACCCGCACCTGGACAGGAGGCAGGCAGACCCTTGGGGGAGCTAGGGACACCAAGGGCTTATCTTCAGCTTCCCGCTTCTGCCAGCTCTGGTTTAAGTCTGATTCTGTCCTCTTCAGATACTGTGAGGCTTTGGTTGTTGGCTTGGGGTGAGTATCAGGACCCTCCAGATGAGAGGTGGTATGCACCCCATCGTGGGGACACAGGGGCCTGGGAGCATGCTGACAAGCCAGTGCAGGTCAGGCCCTCTGAGGCAGCTTCTGGGCAGTTTGGGGCAGGTGTTCTGCTAACAGATGTGGTCTTGAGGCCCCGGCCTGTGTCCTGACCCCTGGCCCTACTCTGGGACTTCTAGACCCTGCAGCAAATGCCCCGTGGTTGTCCCCACACAGGGCTGCATCCTCTCTGTGCTTCCAGTGCCCTTCCAACCTCAGTGATTTCTATTAGTGAGCCCAAGAACAGATGGAGATGCTTAGTCGCACATGGGTGTGACCACAGACCCCTTAAAGAGATCCCAGAGATCCAAACTAAAGCATTCTATTATGGTAGACATCTACAGATTCCCCTAGAGCCTCATGGGATCGTAGGTGGGGCCTCTGGGAGGTGACTGAATTAAGGGGCATTACAGCTGATTGCTGATTGGCAGGGCCTGGTCAAGGCCTGGTAGAGGTGAGTCATAGTGGGCATGGCCTGAAAGGATTTCTCTGTCTTTCCAGCTCCTCGCTTGGTCTCAGCTTCCTGTCTAGTGCACCACGAGCTCTGCTCTACCAGGCCTTCTGCCATGCTGCCCCACCTTGGAGCCAGCCAACTAACAACTGAAATGTGAGCCAAAATAAGCCTCTTCTCCTTTCAGCTGCGAGGGTCGGGTGTTTCTTCCCAGTGACATGACTAAGACACACTTCAACTGTGTCTCTGCTGAATGAATCTGACAGGTCTATGGTCATCCCAGCGCCACCCAATACGAGGGTACAGGTGACAAAGAAGGTGGGAAGGGGGCCGTGATTGTGGCCAGTGCAGGGACAGTGTCCAACTTTGGCGCATCACACGGAGAGGCAGGTCTGGGAGCAGGTGGGGTTCTGTGTGTGATGAGCAGAGCCCTGACAGAAAGCCACCCTCTGGCTGGGGTCTCCACCGGCCTCAGCATCCTGCAGGGCCCTTGTTTCCCCCACCTCCGATCCCAGCTGCCCCTGTTCCCCACACCCAAAGCAAGGGGGCCTGATCTCCAGCGATCTGCTGAGCTGCCACCATCCAGAGGGCCTCGAGTCCTTCTGGGAAAGGTCTATGCTGAAAGGCTGCCAGGCCTGGTGCTGGGAACGGGAATATCCAGGGCCTCCGGGACCTGCTGCCACTGCCCCAGATCCGCCCCAGTCCCCACAGCCCCTGCTGATCCCTGAGCCCTGCTGCAAGGGGTCCGCAGTGGGAATGCGGCCTCCGCTCGGGCGCTGGTGAGCCCACCCTGGAGTAAGCCACTATAATGAAGCAGACAGTGTCCTAGTGAGCTCTCCCAATGCCAATGCCCACCTTGGCTTACTTACACGAGCTTACATATATTAGTTCATTTAATTCTTTGAGCAACTGTGGGAAGGGACATATTATTGTCACCGTTCCCATTCTATAGGTGCAGAAACTGAAGTCCAAGGAAGTTGCCCAAGGGCACGTCTATCAGATGAACCCACAGCTAATGCTTAAAGCAGGCTGCTTCCCTTCCAGTGCAACAGTGGCTTCCCAGAGGGGTATAGGGACTGGTAGCAGTCACACAGCAAGTCACCACCTGCACACAGCTCCGCATTCCTGGCTTTCAGGCTCCTGCTCTTGCTCTTGCATTCCATAATCCAGATATCTGTGTCTTCCAGGTGCAACACGGGCATGTTCTTCATGGGAGAGGAAGACAAAAGAAATTTCTCCTGCAGTAAAATACTCATGAGATTCCTGAGAGAGATTAATAAAAATCTTATCAAAGAACATGGTGATTCCTGCCAACCCCTCCGTCCCTCGGCAATCAGCAGGACTGTAATTTCCATCAAACTATAATTAGCTGAATTTCCTTTTGTAATCTTGGAAGTCCAAAGAGAGCGCAGCCTATCATCGGAGCCATGGGATCATGACTAGCTGCCTCATGCACAAAACTGTTAGGGGAGAAAACGTCCTTTGGTTCCCTTTGATGTTTGAGGAGGAATTGCTAATGCAAAGACCTGAAAAAATTAGTGGAATTTCCAATGGAGCCTTGCCGGGCTGCGAGTTTGTGGAGGAGGCCCTGGCCAGGCAGCCAAGCCCAGGTGGGGTTCTTCATGGGGCCCCCCTGTGGGGCAGAACTGTGGAGAGCAGCTGAGAGCAGGTCCAGGGTTGCTCCAGGGCTAGGATGCACCAGCCACACTCAGTGTGTGTGGTATTACTGAGAATGGATGGGTGGGTGGAAGGAAGACTGGATGGATGGATGGATGGATGGATGGATGGATGGATGGATGGATGGATGATGGATAGATGGATGGATGGATGGATGAATGGATGGATGGATGGATGGATGGATGATGGATAGATGGATGGATGGTTGTGATGGATGGATGGAAGAATGAGTGAATGGATGGAACCAAGGAAGGAAGGATAGAAAGATAGATGGATGAGCAGGTGAACAGGACACGGTGCTTGGTGCGTGCGTGCCCAAGAGCGTTGCCCATCCACTCTGTGTTCCATGTGCAGTGCCTTCTCTCTTCTGCCTTTGCCTGGGGATGAACCTCAAGAACCTCAACTCTCTGGGTGAACCTCAAGCACCTCCTCTGGGAAGCCACCTTGATTTCTTCCCCAAGGTCCCAGTTTTCTTCTGCAGGCTCTTCCTCCATCTTCAGACTTTTGTGCCCCTTCCTCAGTCACAGCACCTCTTCAAAGGACCTCACCTGTCCCATGATTATGTCCTTAGCCTTGAGAGAGAAGTGGATGTTGAGGTTGTAGGCTGATTCAACATTTGAATCCCCCCCTTCGCTGCCCCCCAGTCCTTTCCAGCCTAGAAGCCTAAGTCAGACGCCTCTCACTAGCTCCCAATGCACTCCAGTGAAAGAAAATATCCTTTCAAGGCCCCAGGTGGTGTGGCACTGAGGAGCCCATCACCCTACAGGGCCCTGGATTCATTGTCCAAAGAACGTGATCACCCCAGGCCATTGGCAGTGTGGTCACATGCTCAGTCCCTCTGCCTGTTCCTTGCCAGTCCTCAGAAGAGTCAGGAGAGTCTGGAACCCCCAGCCCACTGCAGGGCACTAGAGTAAGTGCCCCAGCCCAGCCTGCCTTCCCTGTACCTTCACATTGACTGCTTGGCATACTGGTCATAGCCTTCATCACTACCCCTTTTCCACTCTCTACTGAAACACAGACCACAAGCACAGGGCCCAGGTCTATCTGTATGCCTCTGTCCCATCCCCAGGGCAGAGGGTGCCTGGCTAGGCACAGGCTGCAAGAGGAGGGAGCCCATGGGTTGCTGGCCTCCTAAGACCTGGGTCCAGCTATAAAAAATTCTGAGGGCTGAAACCTGGGCCTTCTGGACACAGAGCCACAGCCACAGTTGACCCTGAGTCCAGCGTACCTGGCACTCATGGGGCTCCTTTTGAGCTCTGCCTTAGGGTCACCATCATGGGTTGCCAAACTCCTAGCCTGTCCCAGACTCTGACTTGGAGAACTGCTATCCTCTTAGGCTAGATCTGTGTCCCCCCCTTGTGCCTGACATGAGGTCTTAGCACTCACCAGGGGGAGTCCAACAGGTCGAAGGGCTGTGGGTCACCCCCTGGTTGTGCAAGGGAAAGAGGAACATGATGGTTGCACCACTTGTGCAGGTGGTGCTGCACAGCAGTGAAGCTACAGATGAGATCCATGGTGTGACATGACCCACACCTAACATCTGGGAATCCACTGGGACAGGGAGCCGGGATGCTACCCCAGAGCTGGTCAGGGCAGAACCCAGCAGGGTATGGCAAGAAGGGCAAGGGGTGGGAACAAGTGAGTCATTTTCCTTTTTACCCTGTGAGTCCCAGAGGACCCTTGGCAGTGTCCCTTAAGACTCAAAGGAGTAGGGATACTGCCTCTATGAGACAGTGACCCTCTACACCCATCCAGGGTACCTGGCCCAGTGAGGCCCAGAACCCTCGGTGCAGGAGGGACTCAGGCACTCTCTGTTACTTCCTGGAAGGGCACCTGTCCAGCCTTCTGTGCCTGTCAAGTTGCCAGGCCTGGGCTCTTTGCTGTCTGGGTGTGGCAGGCTGAGTGCCCCCACACCCTTGGCAAGTGCCCGAAGAGATTCCAAGGAAGTGTTCCCAGGGGGTAGACACGGAATGAATGGAGGAATGTGTGTGGTAGGAAGCAACACTGGTGACTCAGAGTGACTCAGTCGGGAGCCTGCCGGGGACCTGAGGAGCAGCTGCCTGCTGGTACAGTAGCCCGTTAGGCTGCCCACCTCAGAACAGGGCCAGTCCCTTCCCAGGGCCCATCTCCCTGGCCAGCTCTGTTGACAAATGCTGGGAAGAGGCCGCATGGCAGGGATCTAGACAGAGCCCAGGTGGAGGAAGGGAAGCTGTGAGTCAGAGGCAGACCCTCTCCCCAGAGCACCTGGGAGCCTCCACCAACACGTCTTGAAATCCACCATATCCTGTAAGAAACCATGTTCCTGACAGGAAAACAAAGGGATGGAGAAGAAAGCACTGGCTAAGGTCTGAGTGCTAACAGAGCTGAACCAAGGAAAGCATCCAGTCCAGGGCCTAGCTTGGGTCGTTGCTCTCCCAGTTAGTAGAAGGTATGGACACTGTGTGAAGCATGCTGAAATTCTCCCCATAAGGTCCTGCTGGTTCCACCAAGGCCACCTCATAGTGCTTACACTCCCTTCTGGAGAGAGGCCTTGGTGGTTTTTCCATTGCCTACCAAAAAAACAATCCATCCATCCCTCCATCCTACTTTCTACCTGCTATCCATCCATCTACCCCTCTCTCCACCAGTTTACCCCTCTATTCATCCATCCATCCATCTATCCCATCATCCATCCCTCTGTCTTTCCATCTGTATATCCCTCCACCCATTCATCCATCCATCTTTTATTATCCTTTCACCATCTATCCATACATTCATCCACCCACCCATCCATCCATCTACCCATCCTTTTATCCACCCTCTCAACTATCTTCCCATAAACCATCCACAGATTTAATGATGTGGCTGTATCTGAATGACAGTATCACTTAGGAAAAATATAAATCTTTCGTTAAAAATAGAAAAATAGGGGGCTGGGGAGATGGCTCAGTGGAATAAGCACTTCCCTAGCAAGTGCAAGGGTCTGAGTTCAATCCCCGGTTCCACCAAAAATAGAAAAATAAAACACAATAAGATGCTAGTTTAAAAAAAAGAGTGAAGGGAAGAAAAGGGAAGGGAAGGGAAGGGAAGGGAAGGGAAGGGAAGGGAAAGGAAGAGAAGAGAAGGGAAGGAAAAGGCCCATCCATCCTCCCATGTGTCCACCTGACCATTCACCCATCAGTGATATATTAGTAATTTAGCCTTTTTTAATTTTAATTTTTCTTAATACATGTCTGTAATATACAATGATTGCACTCATCATGGATAATTTAGTAAGTCTTGACAGGGTAGCCAATCCGCTGGTTTTCTCTGACCCCTCAGTCTTCCAGGCCCTACTGCTTCCTCCTCAGTCATCAAGCTCTATGGATCCCAGCAGGGCCAGTGACTCAGACATGCATGGCTATGGCCTCTAGGAGCCCATGGTCTCAAGAGATACACAGCATCTGCAACCAGAAAACTGTAAGCCAGGCAGAACTGCACTCCCACTCTCTGCTGCCAGTCTTGGTCCCTCAGAGCCTGGACAAGGCAGGACCCAAAGGTCCACGTTCTCCCACCAGCTGGCTCTGGAAGGAAGCTGCTGCTCCTGGGAGGGGACATCCCTGTGCACAGGCAGGACTTGTCCCTTCCCACCTGGACAGAACGTGCCTTCCTGCACCTCCGGGAGCATTCTGTGGTCCTTGGCTTTAGGGCCTCATTAATTCTGGCCCAGCCTGTGCTTTGAGATTATAGGATAAGAGGGAATTCCAGAGGGGCAGTGCAGCCTCATAAAACCACAATTGGTCATGTTCTTCCTGTTATGTTTCTATAATCACAGTAATACCTAACAGCTTTTGCATTTCAAAGTGGTTTGTCTCTATGATTGTACTGAATGCCCACAGCAGCCACAGCTAGTCAGAGAGGAGGTAGGGTGACAACTTGCCCACAATGGAGACCACCTGTAGGCACCTGCAGCATGGTCCAGGACAAGACAGACCTCTAGAGCCTCAGCTTCCCCAACTGTTGAAGGGAAGAGGACACCCTTCCACTGTAGACTCCTGCAAGGTGGCCCAGGACTCAGATGAAGGGCCAGCTGGGTGAGATCAGCAGAAGACGCAGAACTGTCCCCATGGGTCCCCTTCTGGGATCCTGGGAGAGCAGAGACCAGAGGCTCCTTGGTGACCTTGGGCCTGCCTTCACCTCCACACCCTGTGGATGCCCTTTGTTTTCTCTACTTAGCGTCATTCTCCACCACTAACTATGAAATATGAGATGGTCTCCCAGGTAACAAGAGGTGGCAGCTGACAGAGACACCTGCAGACACAGCTGGCAATGACTGTGGCCAAAGACCCAGGGCTGCTGGCTGAGGCAGCACTCTCATGGCTGCTTTGGGCCACCAAGGTCCCCATTTCTCAGGGGCTCGAAGCCAGCTAGAGCCTGGGGACAATGCCGTCAGGCCCGAAGGATCTCCTGAGGCATTTCCAGGAGAGGTGACAGATCCTGGGTGTCCCTTGGACACTGCTGTTGCCCAAGGAGTATCCAAGCCTGGGGTTCGACTTGAAGCTCGGCAGGGCTGAGTCCTTTGCCATGTTATCTCTGTGCTTCCAACTTGGCCAAGGTAGGGGTGGTGGGTGGAGCGTGGATCTCCCTCCAGCGAAGGATCC